GAATTGATGGAAAACATCATCACTTGCGATGAAACCTGGATATTCCAATACGATGTTGAAACTAAGCGGCAATCCATGCACTGGAAAACTCCTGCATCGCCAAGAATGAAAAAAGCAAGGATGTCGAAATCAAAATTTAAAGCCATGCTAATCGTTTTTTTCGACATCAACGGCATCGTGATGACTGAATGGGTTCCAGAGGGTCAAACTGTAAACCAAACTTACTATTTGACAGTTTTGGCAACACTGCGAGAGCGAGTTCGTAAGAAACGGCCGGAGTTGTGGAAAAACAAGTCGTGGATCTTACACCAGGACAACGCACCTGCCCATAACGCGCTGTCTGTGAAGCGTTATTTAGCCGCTAGAGGCACTCCAGTGCTCGAACACGCGCCGTACTCGCCTGATTTAGCACCCTGTGACTTTTTCCTGTTTCCGAAGATCAAGTCTGCCTTAAAAGGAACCCGGTTCGAGTCGATGGAAAAGGTGAAGCGAAAATCGGTGGAGCTCCTAAATGCTCTTACAAAAGAAGACTTCCAGCATTGCTTTGACCAATGGAAAAAACGAATGGAACGGTGTGTGGCGAGGGGAGGGGAGTACATTGAAGGGGAGCATTCAATTGTAGAATAATTTTTAAAATAAAACTCTTTTTCATAAGCAGTCTCGTTATTTAATAGCCAGACCTCGTATATACCTATTGTAAATAAAGTTCGACTTTTCGATACTGACAGTCCGTCTTTTCTCTCAATCCGTGTTGATCAGCGAACGTACATTATAATCGATACACAATGTCTGTCTTACACATCTGCGTTCCACTAAATTTTGTATATTCTAATGGGTTTTCATACTTATATGGACACACTTATTCGAATAATTTACACATAATTTTTGGTGAGTTTTATTTGTTAGAATTCCGATATGTTAATTTGATTGTGTTTATTTTTTCGTAAGAAGTCTTTTTATCTTTTTTATCAACTAGAACTTTTTCCAAGAGATATGAAACACATTTGACTGTTCAATCGTATGTAAATAATGTCGAATTCTACATCAAGACTCATCTAAGTTATGATTATGTGAATATGCGAGCATTTTCGATAAGTAATTTTGTACAGTGATTTTTATGATAAGTTAATGTCTCAAGGAAGAGGGCTAATCCGGTAGTCGAAACTTGTAATATTTGAATTTAAACTGAATTTTTTATTATTTTTTTCAATTTTACTTTTCTTTATTTATAATTTATTCTTTTTAATTGTGTGACAATTTAAAAGAGGTATACTATATAACATGAAAATCGTAAACAATTAAATATGTCGTAAACTGTTGCGTTTTAATACGATTTATACTATTCTGGATTAAGGGGAGGGATTCACTATTGCTACAATTTATTGAAACTTATATATTATTTAGAATGCTTCCCGCCCCTTATTGCCTAGGGCCGCCGAGCTACCGAGATTGCCGAGAAAGCATTTTCGGTCGCTTGAAACAACCGATTAGTGCGAAAAGGAGCTCGCTGTCTCTCGGCGTTACGCAGGCGAGCAAACAGCAAGTACTCGTACTTGTTGTGTGTTACAGCGCCACACCACGATAAATGGCCGAACTTATAGGCGTAGAAAAGTGACATTTTAACAAAATTTATATTGTGTGCCATTTCGTTATTATTTGCTTAATTGTGAAAATGTGACTTGTCTCGTACTTATCAAAGTCGTAATTATCGATGAAAAGTAAAGTTATCTTCGAATTTTATATGTAAAAGCGTATATTTTACTCGTTTCAACACTTGTTGGACCGTGTGTTTCTGTTCGAATATAGGCTCACTTTATATGCCTTTTACGACCATTTATTGACTGTCAAAGAAGGAAAAGACAGTTTTCATCGATTTGTACAAGTGTTTTAACGTGATCTCGTCATTTCGTTTCATCTAAATTGTCTTTATTTAAAAATGGCACGCAACATAAATTAACGTGTCATTCCTCTTTTCGATGTTACGATTCCAACATGGCCACTGCGACTAATCAGGAGCTTTAATGATTAGTCCGATTTGTTATCGCGCTATCGATAATTTTATTTCGGACCACCTGTTGGTATGGATATAATTATGAAGCCCATAACTTCCCTGGTAAAAAAGTTTCGCTGCAATTGTTCCACGTTTTGGAACATTTCAGTTAACATACTGAAAAATCACTAAAATGCAATCGAAATTTCTTTGAAATTTTCTAGAATTTTTCTGAAAGTTTTGTTGAAATTTGTCTGAAAATTTTGCTGAAATTTTTCTAAAATTTTGTCGAAAATGAATTTTTCAGCTAAATATCGCTGAAATTAAACTAAAAAACTTTTTTAAAATGCTAAAATTTTGTTGAAAAGTATTCCAAAATGTGGAATAATTTTAGCAACATTTTTCCACCAGGGTATCATACTTGGTAATAAATATATATGAATCATATTGTCAAATGACATGCGAGTATCTACCATTTCAAAAAGAATTGATAAAAACCCTCGATGTTGTGTATAAATTTTTGTTGCCAAATTAGTTCAATGTGATATGGTTCCGGAGGTAATCAACGATATTACCTTGATCCAATTAATCATATTTAATTATTGAAACACACACAATTAATGTTATTAATTATTATTATTACATTATTATCAATTACATTTATTATTTTTAGTACGTTATTATACTACCTGAATACATTTTATTCCACATTCACAATTCATATTAGTCCTCTTTTCCCGCCTAAATAAAGTGAAGCGCTCACGCTGACGCATCTCCCGATTATGATCACCGTGCCATTACATGAAACACGGAAATACGGAAACGCCGAAACACGAAAGACAAAATTAAATAAATTTTACTAGATTTCCGCGTTTCCGCGTGTTCTGTTCCATCTGTTTTGATCTCCTAATATTATTATACATACAATACAATTTGAGCGGAAAAGCGGAACAATATAATGATAAATACACTTTTGTATTCATTAAAAAAAATTGTATTCACTTAATTCATTGCAATTTTTATCAATATGCTTATCTTTTCAGTTTATGTACATGAATACAAGCATTTTAATCAATAAATCGTTAAAAATTAATAATTTTTAATTCCTCGTTCCGCTTTACTTTAGTAAAGTTTAATTATGTCTTCCGCGTTTCCGCATTTTCGCGCTTCATGTAATGGCACTCTTATATTCGTATTCATAATCAGACCTTATATTTAAGGCATCTTTAAATTTATCTTCAGATATTCTAGGAATTATTTCATGCTACTGAGCATTTAAAGATAAATTTAAGGAAGGTCTTAAGTACAAGGAAGATCTGACTATGAATACGGGCATTAGGCTAGAGCAGGGTTGGCAACGTTACCTCATAAAAATAACTCGTTACTGTTATTATTCTTTTTTGTTAAAAAATAACTTGTTCTTGTTACTCATTATTGATTTGCAAAAGTAATTCGTTTCCGTACTCGTTACTCAAAATATAACAAATCGTTACTTTTTTATTACTTTTTTTCTTGATACTAATAGAATATTATATGCAGATTTTTGCAGTAAACGTAAAAAGAATGTCAAAATTATATTTTTTAATAGAGGAATAGAGTTCAAAACATATATGCCTATAGTAAACATTGTGCATTATTTTCATGGATAAAATATATGCTGTCATATCACATAATATATGCTACATTTTTTTGTAATTTTTATACTTAAATAAATTTATTTTTTGTATTACTTTTTAATAAGATATCTTTAAATTATACGTTTGACTCTTAATACATATACAATTTTTTTTTACTGTACATGATGGATCGTTTGTATGTGGATTAATTTCAATAATTGTTGCAAATATACAAAAATTATGAATAGATTCTTATATATATTTTAACATATATTAAAAAATATATTTTAAAAAATATTTTTTTTTTAAGTTGTATTTAAAAAGAAAAAAAGGATAAAAATAATTATTTAGCCAGATACAATATTTCGAAGAAAAGAAACAATGATACGAATGGCTCATCATGAGTACCCTAAGGGTAAAATTATATTATAATAAAAAAATAATATTGTTTGTAATCTGCATTATATACATATATTTAATTTGTGAGATATAACACAGAAAAAATTTTATTTTAAGAAATTAAATACACTGTAAAGATTATATCTAGAATTTAACGTGATCTCATCACATACGTAGAGAGTTAGTCTATACATGTGAACTGTGAACACAATAAAAAAAAAGGCGTCGTGATGAAAGGCGTAACCGCGTTTAGATTACATAATATGTATGTTTAATCTAAGGCAGTATCCTGATTGGCTCATCGGCTTAAGTTTATGTCTTAAGATTACTATTACAAAAATTTTGTCTGCGACAGACCTTAGAGTTACCGCACACAAAATTCCGTAACAAGCTGCGTTCGGAAATGCAAATCTGAGGCGTCGGAGTGCTCTTTTTCTACAGTGCACGTGATATAATAGCTGCGTTTGGAAACTGTATATTCCGATATATTCGATTTCTGATAGGTTGAAATTGTATTATTCCTATCACTATTGCTATTCCCTCGCATTGTGTCTTGGGCTTAATGCAAATGTATGGCATCAGAGTGCTTTTATAGCATGTCACGTGCATTGCAGAAAAAGAGCACTCCGACGCTTCAGATTTGCATTACCGAACGTAGCTGCAGTATGCGTAAGGTATAAACTTAAGCCAATGAACCAATCAAGATACTGCTTTAGATTACGTAATCTAACGGGAATGGAAATAACAGTTAACCTCGCAGATGAATTTCAACCGGTCGAAACTCGCTTTATAAATAAGTTTACTGCTATTTCTATTTCCATTAGAATACATAGATCTAAAACAGTATCCTGATTGGCTCATCGACTTAAATTCACGTCTTAAGATTACTGTTACAGAAATTTTGTGTGCGGCAGTCTTTATCCCGAATCTACAATAGGTTTTTAAGCCTTAAGTCATAAGGAATGGACGAATCACAATTAATTATTCTCCTCGCATACGACTGTAGTTGATCAATTTTTTACGACTTAAAGCTTAAAACACCTATTGTAGATCCAGACTTATTGTTTTTTCGATAAGATGATAAATACTCTGTCTTCGAAAATGGAAAAGCTGGTTTTCGACTCTAGGATAGCATGGAAAGCATTAAATGGAATATTTGCTGTTTACAAACCACCAATGGTTACGTATTTAGGCGCACGGGATACCATAATTTATCGTCTCTGCGAAGGTTAGAATATCATTATGTTTTGAAACTTATTCTTATCAATATTCTATAATAGCTGCGTTCGGTAATGCAAATCTGAGGCATCGGAGTGCTCTTATAGCATATGTCACGTGTACTGTAGAAAAAGAGCATTCCGACACCTCAGATTTGCATTGCTGAACGCAGCTATTAATGGATAATATTATTTCAATGTAAGAAGTGACGAAATAAGACTCTTTAATATTAAAAATAAATAAGGAAAAGTACTCTGGCAATGAGAGTCAAGCGCAAGTAATTGGAGTACAACAAAATTATCAGATTTATTAATCAATAAATAATAAATGTTTCGATATTCTGAGCCATCATCAGTAGATATATTATTTGTACATGTTATTGTCTCAAGCTCCACTTGGAAAGTTATATGTATGTCTCTTACAATGTTTACAAAACCAAGTATTATTTCATGCTTTTTTAAATTAAATTCCTCCTTGTTTCTTTATTCCTTTAAGTAATGTATTGTTTTATTTTAAATACAAAATAATGCAACTGAAAGCAGTGTTCTCTCTCTTTCTCTCTCTCTCTCTCTCTATCAAGTCTACACTTTTTATTGTTATGTATATTTGTTCGGACATGACATAATTTTTATTCTTTGTCTTCTTCCTTTTTGCCATTTTTAATTATCATTTAATTTTTTATATTCACTTATGAAGCTTTTTCCTGAATTATTTATTTTGGTTTAGTTAAAGTAAAATGTATGTTTGTTTTTATTTAGTACTCTTTTATTGCCCGTTTGGATCTTCTTATTTTTCTTTGTAGTATTATTCCAAGTAGCACATAATGTGCTTTGCAGACGCTGATGTGCTACTGAGAAGAGGTGATCTTATTAAAAAAAAAAAGTATATAACCTATGTCAAAAACAATTTGTAATTTCTAGATTTGAACAGTATGCGTGTACGTCAACCAATCAAACATGTCTGTATAGAAGGTGATACAACTAAGGCGATGAAAGTATTTATACATCCGAGCTATGCGGATCATCCATTAGTCGTAGGTCCACGATATCAACCTAAAGACTTCATATTGATATGCGCTAATTATCTGAGTAGAGACATGTCTGGCCTCATGGTCTGCGGTATTAATGATGGTGCCAAATGGGTTCATAAATTGAAAGAGTCCAAATCTCCAACTAGTTATAGAGTTAAAGGCCTTTTAGGACAAGCAACAGACACATATTTTATAACTGGAAAAATCATCGAGAAGTCTACATATAAATACATTAAGCGGGATGCAATTGATAAAATATGCGCTTCCATGCAAGCTGCTCATCAGAGAAAGATGTTTGAGTACGTTGTATGATAGATATATATGACATTAATTAATATTATGGCTTAATATATATCGAGTATTGTAGTTTAATTATGTCTTTTTCCTAGATTGTGTGGATTAGATATGCAGAGTCAAGCTGCATATGAATTGGCTGTGCAAGGTCCGATAAGACCTGTTGACATAAACATTCCAATGATATACAATATAAAATGTATAGATTTCAAATCTCCTGAATTCACATTAGGTAAATGTAATAATTTTTGTTAAATTATAAAATCATATGTGATAAAATGATTTTTTTACCTTTTTTAGAAATTGTTTGTATAAACGAGAATGATATGTATTTGAAAACTTTGATTCATGATTTGGGAATACAGCTCCATAGTGTCGCTACGTGTACTCAAATACAGTGTTTTCGGTATGCGTTATTTGATCTAAATCTTGCCTTGTTGAAAAAACATTGGGAGCTGGAAAACTTTTGTAATAATATTGTACAATGTAACACTATAATTAATGAAAATAGGTATTTGTTGAAACAAGGTAGTCCGATATTGATAGAACGAAATAAATAATTGAAATCTTTTAAACTGTAATCAAATGTACATAATAATAATAAGCCATATAAATTGATAGTAAAAAGAAAGACTTCTATGATTTATACTATAAATTATATTTTTCATTCCATAAGAGAACAATCAAGTTTAATCGAACATTAGTAGAATGGAAGTAAAATCGAAACCTTTTAAATTGTATAATTAATAATATAATTAATAAGTGAATTCAGTAACATATATGCGCAAATTAATACAAAGCATATTTCTTTAATATTCTTTTTATATCATATGAATACATCATCATTAATAGATTCAGTGTGCCTTTCAACAAGCGACACAAATGACACGGTATGATACAATGGATCATTACATCCTTCTTGTTTACCAATGTTAAACAAAGATGACATGATCACTGTGTCGTACTGTGTCACTTACTCTCAGTTATTATAAAATCAGCTATCCTGTGCGCGCGTGCGCACAATTTATACGAATGTCGTTAATCATTTTATGGAGATATCTCATGTATAACATTGTTAAATGGGTACATTACTGGGTTATTGGGATTCTTCCATGTATGGACAATTCTTTAACTTTTCGGTGTCACACTTTCGTAAAATTTTACGATTACACTGGGTCAATTAGACAATTGATGATGCCATCTAAAACTATCTGATTAAAAAAAAAAAAGGAATATATTTTGAACATTATAATTTTATTAATGATAACATTACGAACTAAATATGTTTAAAAAATTCTTGAAAACGTACATATAAAAAAAGTAAACTGTAATGTAAAAAAAATCAATTTTATTTTTTAGCTTTTTTAAATTAAAATTTTAGAGTGGTACTCCGAAAACGTAATACTTTCAAGCAAAAATATGTACTATATAGCGCGCGTTTTAACAAATATATTTTTCTGATATGTGAAGAAAAAAGAAATATTATTTTCTTTTTAAACAGCTGCCACATATTATTGACATGTTTTTGAATAGTTAACTATTTCAATCTCTAGAGAAGACCTCTAACTTTTGATTGATAATCGCATAAGGCTCGATTACAAGCTACGCCGTAAAAGTTATACAGCCCCAAATTCGGACTATAAGTTATTTTCATCTATCGTGATAACAGAGGATTAATATAGAAGATGGATCTAAATTATGGAAAAGACAAGGAATATAAGTACAGTGATTGATTTTACAAATGCTGCAACGCGTTTGTAGAACGAAGTGGACCGCATTCAAAATGACAAAAATCGAATCAATGGCTGCGTTCAGCAGAGAAAACAGCTTTGCAACTATTATATAAAATTCTTCAATACGATTGGTTCTTGCTTTTGGTTCCTTATATATCTAAACGTATAAACTAATCATATTGTAGAATGCTAAATCAGCCATTATATGAAAAGGCTAATGATATTTCATAAAAAACAAAAAAACTAAGATCTTCACATATTTTTCGCAATAAATTATTCGCAGTTGAGATTCTTATTAGCATCAAATTATATTAATAAGGTATTCTTATAAGATGCTTATTAGCATCAATATTATTAAATTAGTAAGCATTTAATATGTGATATTACTACTTTAATTTTGTTCATGATTATGATTCAAGACAAAAAGATTACACACGGTTTGATATGTATATAAATTCACATCAAAATATATATATATATATATATATATATATATTTAAAATACTTAAAATTCGCTCTGGCCGAAAATAGGATTTCTCTTAATTAAATTTAAGAGCTTTACAGTTATCAGGAACTAATTAAATAAGGTATTATGACACAAAACAACTATAACACTATAGTACTATATAATTGTAAATTATAAGTTAAAACAGAACCGGATGAGTAAAAGATTGAGTATGAAGATATAAAAAGAGACATGCTGTGCATGATATTGTTAAATGTAAAGAAGGTTCAGTTATATTTGCATTAAAATTAATGTTTCTCTAATTTAACTATTGTAAAAATTTTTATATTATGTTCTATGTATTTTTTTTCTACGAAAATCATGATATTTTTATTATATGAATAACAATAGTAAGAAATTATTAAGTTTCTCTTTTTTTGGGAGTAATACGTTCCCTACTACGACTTCTTCTCCTTTGGCTACAATCAGAATCATCGGATCTGTCATATGATCTTTTTTCAGATTTTCCTTTTACTCTCTGTTTGTTCGGCCATTGTTGCATCTTCATACTTTTTGCTATTACACGTTTTTGATGATCCAGTTGCGGGAATAAATCTACAAAAGTAATCCAAATTTTTATTTAAAATTGTAAAAATTGTATTATAATTAAAATAGACTATTTTCTAAATTTTAAATATAAAGAACAATTTATTCTTTGTTCAATCACATATTTGATGATTTCAATAAAATTTTAATTTAAAGATTATACAGGATCAATCAGAGTCGTTGAACCAGCTTTTTACCCTATGAGAAAATAATTGCACACGTTACAATTCAATTAGGTATAAAGTCGATAATTTTCTCATTGGGTAAAAAGTTGATTCAACGACTCTGATTCATCCTGTATGTATTGCTAAGAAAAAAAATTTTTTTTTAATCGGTCACTTAGCTCAAAAGTTTCCATTTTATGCCAAAAGTACACTCTAAATTTTTATTTAAAAATATTAAGATTTAGAGGTCGCTAGTGTGTGTGTGTGTGTGGGGGGGGGGCGTCTGTGTATGTGTGTGTGTAGATTATTGATTATTTTCAATTCTATATAATTATTATTTTTATTTGTAATACCTTGTGATTTTTCTAAAGCTTCTTTGGCAGAATTCATTTCCGCTTCTTGAATACTATGCCCTGAAGCCGTAGCTAAACGTTTTCCTTGGAAATATACAGCGACTGTATAAACCCTTGTATTAGTTGGTCCTTTACACTCGATGACTCTAAAAAAAAAGCAAGCCACATTAGAATGCTATATAAAAATAAATCTTTTGCATCATTTGTTCCTTATATCTCTAAGAAGAAAATTTAGACATTTGCAAAAATAAATACTATATACACTTATGTAATTTTACAGAGGTTTTTTTCATAGGCAAAAAAATAAAAACTTACTTGTACACGGGAATATCTGGTTCACCACCGTCCATAGTTCTTAACGTTAAGCAACACTGTTGTAATTTGCTCTTTGGATCATTCCAGTCTTGATTCATAATAAAATCTTGTAAACGTGGGAAGAAGCATACATCACAAAATACGTGACAATACTTTAAACCCTTATCGACATAAAGTGCGCCAAGAAAAGCTTCTAATAAATCTGCTCTGTCTTTTGTTTTCAATTCAGCTTTTGGATTCCCATAAAGAGCATACTGAGTCATACCGAGGTCGTCACAAACGACCGCTTGCGTTTTATTATTTACGAGAGAACTTCGTAATAACTGCAACAAAATGATTATAAATTTAATAGAAAAAAAATTATCAAAACAATTTACGAACAGTGCTTACCGATAAATGTCCCTCATGATGTTCCGGAAAGTACTTATACAAATATTCAGAAACGATAAGCTGCAACACAGTGTCTCCTAGGAACTCTAGTCGTTGATTAGATCCTAATGTTAAATTAGTATATCCTATACTACGATCTGTGAACGCTCTAGCAAGAAGACGAATATGAGTGAATTCTATTCCGATTGATTCCTCGAACTTGGTTAATTTCTGATAACATAAGAAAAAGTGATTTCATAGTTGAAAGTTTGTTCAAATGCTGATTAATACCTGTAACAGTTCAAAGCTGGAAATCCATTGTCTGTCTCCTGTCGGCTCCTGTTCTTGAAGAGGATGTCGTGGATAATTGACCCAAACTTTGGCAAGATCCTCTTCACCTTTAAAAAGTGTCTCTCCAAAAACCCGATCAGCCACTTCTATTCCTCCATCAAGAAATAGTGAACCCATCAACGCTTCAAAGCAATTCGCCATTGCATGTCTTAACTCCAAGTCATGACAGAGATCGCTACCGTGAGCATAAAGCATATACTCTTCTAAATTCAATTTCTTCGCCAATACAGCAAGATGCTGGTTTTGTACAATTGCTGCTCTGTAAGTAGCCAAACCGCCCTCCTCCAAATCCGGAAACATGTGGAAGAGGTGAATGGAAGTAAGGAACTCGACAACCGCATCACCAAGAAATTCTAACCGTTCATTATGCGCTATTGATGATTCTGTTTCCGTTTTTGCGCCGAATCTGGACATTATGTTTATCAGAGTGTTGATACCACGCTTACGCGTGTTCATATAATGGATCCTGCGGTCGCCGTACTCAGGCTGTCTTATACCGCAATTCGTCAAGGAATTCCGCGCGTGATCCGGATTCGTGCCAAAATTCTCGCGGTAGCTGGGATGCGTGAGAGCTAGCTGGAGTAGATACCTGTTCTTGAATTCGTATCCTAACGTGCGTTCTAGATTATCCAGAGATTTGTGAAATCTCAAATGGCAGACTAATACTGGTATCAACATCGCATGTTGTACAATGTCGCACATAATGCCAGTTCTATAAAATCCTTCGGAGCTGACATCGACCGTGACATCGCGCTTCATTTTGCTCTGAGTACGTAACTCTTGCAACTTATTTTCCTTTGCCTCTAATTTTCTCTTATCTTCGAAGGATGGTTTCGACATGTTTGCGAGTAGATGTCGAAATTTCACGTAATCTCTCCAGGCTTTTTGGTAACTGATAAAAAGCGTGTTCATAGATATAGAATTATATTTAAAGGACAAGCTTTATGTATTAAGAAAAATATAATTTGCAAAAAATTGAAAGAAAGATTTCTTATACATTCATTAAATTTGATCACTTCTAAGAAATTTAACGATTATTTTAGATAAAAAATGTCATAATTACTCTATTATTATAGTACACATAATGATGTTAAAATAAAGTTATGTACTATAATTAGAAAAACATAACTTTAAATTAATCGAAAATCGAAATACATTGATGCAAAAATTTCATTGTGTAAAAATTACCATTATGTAAAAGGTACCAAACAAGAATAAATCAAATCTTGAAATTTGGATTTTAATCTTATTTGATTTAAAATTGTA